GTATTTTACAGAACGAAACACCTTCCCTGTTCATTGTTTAAATAGACAGTCACGTATGGTGAAGGTCTAATTACAGTAGTCCCTCGTTTTATCGCGAGGGATCCTTACCCATTGCTGTACGAATGGGTAAATGAGGACACAGATTGTAGTGTAAAGCGCTTTGAGTATCTCCATAAGATAGAAAGGCGCTATACAAGTACAGTCCATTTATCCTGAAGCCCCACGATAATTGAAAAACAGCGAAGTAGGAATACTAGTACAAGAAGTAAGTAGTAGTTTATTTTAGTATATTTATATACAGACCCTTTCCAAAAAATTAGAATATTATGGAAAAGTTGTTTAACTTCCATAATTCCATTCAAAAACTTAATCTTTAATATATCATAGATTCAGGGCCCACAATTTAAATGATTTCAAGTATTTGTTTGTTTATTTTTACATAATTTGGGCTTCCAGCTCATGAAACCCACGAAAACAGGATTTCAAAAAATAAGAATATTCAGTTTATTCACACACACACACACACACACACGAAGGAAACATAATACATAATACATATCAGCAAAATAACAGTGCGTGAATCAGGTCTCCAAAAAGCTATTTAAAGCTTATAGACGGAGCCTGGGCTCATATTGCATACAAATTATAACATATTAAAATAACAACACAATAAAACATCAGTCCTCATAAAAATTCCACATACAATACAGATTATGTTACCTCTGTTCAATCAGTTACAGGTCCTACAAGTGATCTCAAGTATATAAATGGAGCAATTTGGTCTTTAACTGTTTTTTGAGGTGGAGATGAATTTCAACTCTTTCAAATTCTCATCAAGCTCGTTCCAAATCTGTGGACCCCTCCCAGAAAAGGTTTGACTAGTTATTCTAAGTCTTCTATATTTAGTGTAGATATGATGTTTTTTCCTGGTCTCATAAGTATGTTGTAGACCACTGATTGGAACGAGCTCTGTTATGTTAATCTTTTATTAGTTTTATTTACAA